GAGTAATAGTAAAAATGTCACTAATTCATTATAAAATCGGCTACGTAATTAAATATAACCTGTTAAAATTTGGTCAAATTTGGGCTTAAATTGGCGGAATTAACAAAGGTATCAAAATCGCGTTTAACACGTAATTTCGAGTGATCGACTCGCTTGTGTGACCGACTCGCTTGTGAACCACGTTAAACGATATTTATTAAAAAAAACTTTAAACCATTTTAACGTTTTCAAACACGTAATAAATTTAAAAATCGCTTTATAAATAATAACAGCTTTTATTTATTATTAACGATATATAAATGAAAAAAATACGATCCCATATCGATTTAAATAAAAACCACTTGTTAAATTTGCATTAACGTGGTTCACAAGCGAGTCGGACACCCAAGCGAGTCGGACACCCAAACGCGACCTCCAGTCAATCGACGCGCATACCAACCCAACAACGCCAGGAATCCATTCAAACTACTCGGAACTGTATACATCGGACATTTCTACTTCTTCCTGACAGGTGCGCGCGTTGTGTCCGGTCTTGCTGCAGGTGCCACAGCGCCGACGAACCGTCGGCGCCCTCCTTTCCGGAACCCCCTGATCGCGCATTTCTTGCTGTAACTGTCCATCCAGCGCCTCCTGGTCCAGCACATCTCGTACCTCTTCAATAGTAAGTGACCCTCCTTGTCGGACACGTGTTTTTTTGGCCTTTCGGCGTTTGCTTAATGCTTCGTTCGCCTTGCGTAGCGAAGCAACTTCGGCCCTTAGGAGGGCCACTTGATGCATGATCGAACTTGTTCCTTTCGCAAGCTGGTCCACAGCCGCTAGCATGGGTGTCGGAGAGCTGCTTCGGTGATTGGAGATCCGAGTTTTAATGTGCTCGGATTGCGAAGTTGCTTCCTTGGCTGTCCGGGGCGTTTTGGAGGTCCAAGGTTCGGGGTCGTTCAGGGGCGTCCTTGGGGGAGTTGGAGTCCGTAGCTTCACATCCAGCATTTCCAGGACCGAATCCGGATTAAAAGGAGTAAGGCCAGCCCCTCGGAAACCTCCTTGAATGTTTGTTTCGGTCATAGAGTTAAAGAATGCCGCTTTGAACGCCGAAAGGAACTCGACTTTGGTGACGTGGTTAACGTGTAACCTCATCAGGTCCTCGATTTGTCGACCGTACGCCCGCTTCATTGGGCCGAAGCATCCAACATCAAGCGGCTGAAGGAAGTGAGACGAATGCGGAGGCATGCAAATCGTAACAATGTTGTGTTTTTGGCAGTAAAGCTCGAAATCCGTCGAGTGGTGGCTTTCGTGTCCGTCCAGCACTAACAAACGATAGGGGCCTTTTGCGCGCGACGCAGTATGTTTGTCGAAATGCCGAATCCATTCCAGGCCGAGCTCGTTCGTAGTCCAACCGTTGGCACTTGTTGCGATAACCCAATTGCGTGGGAGGTCGGTTTCCGAGTACCAATTGGCCAGGTGGTACTGCCCCTTGACGATGATGAAAGGAGGGACCGCCCAACCGCAACAATTAACCCCTTGGATAACTGTAGCCCATTCCCGGTTGCCAGGTTGGACCAGCTTTGCTTTGCCACGGCCTTCCGACGTTGTAATAACCATAACGGCGGCGATCATGCCCATAAGGAAGCCGGTCTCGTCGAAGTTGTAAATGTCGTCATCCAGGATGCCATATTTGGCCACAGTGTTCCGTACAAGGTCGAACCACGCAGAAACGAGCTTGGGATCTTCGCACTTGGCCCTCTGGTAGTCGTACTTTCGAATCCAGCGCGTACCGAGCTCTGCGCGGCGCTTAACGAAGTTCGCGACCCAGTTCTTGCCAACGGTGCCCGCGTCGCGCTCGGCAAGCAATCGGTTGGCCATATCTTCAACACCAGAAGGCCGGGGAGGAAATGCGCGGGAATCCAGCTCGAGTATGTACTTGATAAGCGCCTCCTCTTCGGACTCTGTCAATTTCCGGAAGTTGGGCATGCTGTCGCATCGAGCAGGTTTGCCGCGGCGTCGGTCGCTCAATGTAGAAATGGGGACATTGTAAAGCTTTGCTGCAGCACGCAGGCTAATTTTCGGATCATTTTTGATTGCCAGCAAGGCAAGGATCACTCTGGACTCTTTGGATTGCGAATCCATTACGTAGGTGTCGAGATGTTTGGGTGGAAAGTTGACGCGACGCGTCGCGTCGAAAAGTGTCCGACTCGCTTGTGAACCACGTTATATGGTTCTTCCCTCAAATTGTGTAATTAAAAGCTGCACGTGGGAAATAATAAAATAAATAGATATAAAAATAAACCGGATTAATCCTTTAGAATAAATTGCATTAAAATCGTTGTTAAAAATAACGATAATAATAACGATTAAATAATAAAACGGGACGGGAAAAAAAGCATTAAAAATACATTATTAAAACGACGGGCTTTAAAAAAAATAAAACTTGTAAAAAAAGCCGGCTTAACCAGGGTGGAATGAAATAAAATGGATAAAAAAACGAAAAAAATACATTACGATCTCGTAAATAAACACGTTTATAATCACGCTAATTAATACGTTCGTAATTGTATTTATTTAATTAATAACGTTTAAATAACTATAAATTAATTAAAAAGCACGAAACGAAATTCATATAAAAATAAAACACTGGATATGGAAAAGGTTTAATCCGGCCCCAATTATTGCGCGAAAGAAATGGTTACATTTTTAAAATGTAATAAAATAAGTAATTACTTCTTATAATTTATATAAATTAAAAAAAGCAAATAAATTATAGTTATGATTAAAATTAATAACTAGTGATTATATTCCTAACCCTGTTTGCGGGTACCGGGGCAGCCACCCAATGGGACGGAATAAATGAACCCAAAACATCCCCCCAAAGACAAGTATTAAAATAGCCCCAGGGATAATCCCTGTATCCCACAGGCCCTGGATAATCCGAGGCGCAGCCCGCCAAATCTCGTGGCAAATCGAGGCTGGGATTCGGATGAAGCCGTTGTTGTGCTGCCGGAGCGGGAGCCTGGAGTTGAGGTCGTATCCTCGCAGGAATCTTGTTTGAATATTGTTTTCGACATTCCGCTGCTGTTCGATATCGTCGTTCCGGTAGGCTCGTCTGGACGAAAAGCGAGCAGCCGAGGTGGGCACGCCAATCGTTCGCGCCGCCATAATTCTTTTCTCGTCGTTGTTGTTGGTGAATTCAAGGCGACATTGTTACACAGTTGCCGCGCGCGGACATAACCAGCAAAACGAGCAGCTCACGATTTCGCTGTGGTTTCAGACAGCCTGACCCCTCTCCTTTTATTTGACGCTAGGGGTACGCCGCCAACGAATCCTGCCACATGTGTGGCGACCTGGCGCTTACGGATTGGCTCGTTTTCGAACCCTCGTCTGCCTCTGCCGCCTTACGCTATCGCTCCGAGCTGGGAAGGCGGTAAGTGTCGGGCGGGGTTTGTCAACAGTGCCGAAAGCGTGGCAAGGCTGCGCTTTCTTGAAGGGGTAAGCAGCGGGCGCGCACACACAACTTCTGGTATCGCATTGTCCAAAAATCCACGATCACTTCCTGTGCTACTGCAGGTCGGTCGCCTGCCGTGATAGCTATGGAACCCGTCACCATAGTTGGCCTGGTCTCGGGCATTATCACGTTCATCGACTTCGGCATCAAGGTTGCCCAGGCGGCGACGTTGGCTCGACAGGCGGCCCATGTTGTCATCCCGGAGCTGAGCGAGCTAGAACATATCCTCGACGACATCCAGCGCCACAATAACCAAGTCTCTAACGACCCATCAGTCTCCGAGCAATGGAAGAATCTGCGGCCGCTTGTTTCCGAATCAGAGAAGCTGCACGAGGAGCTGCGTGCGATTCTGCTGAAGTTGAAAATGCCCGAAGGGACCAGGTTCAAGAGCCTGGAAGCGGCGCGGATCATGCTGACGGCACAGCTCAAGAAAGGGGATATTGACAAGCTGAGGGGTCGTCTGGAGTCCCTGGACAGCCGCATAAGGCGGAACGTCAGCACCATGCTGCAAGTGTGAGTGTCAGAACCTGCCGTGAGCCCCGGTTCCTGATTTCCGAAAGTCTGACAAGCGTCGAATGCGACGCGCTTGACAATTTGTTCACCAGAGACCAGCAGTCAGCCGTGGTCAAAGAGCTCAAGTCTCTCAGGGAGATGCATCAGAATTACAACATCAACACGGAGTTCAAACTCGATCAGATCCGGCAAGACATACACGTAATGGCAACAAACAAGGAAGTGGAGCTGGCGGCTCTCAAAGAGAGGCTGGAATGCCTCGACGCAGAAAGAAAAGTGAGCAAGCAGCAGACAGAGGTTCTAGAGAGCCTATTCTTCCAGGATCTGCACCGTCGATTCTATCGCATACCTGAATCGGACAAGTACACCAGCGAGTGGCTCTTTAACCGAGGGAAAACATCCTTCGGGGACTGGCTAGAGTTCGGAAGAGGAATTTTCTGGATAACTGGCAAGGTACGCAGTCCTCGCGAATTGATGCCTGAAAATAATCCACACAGGGGCTGGTGCTAACGAGCCAGGACGGCACACGCAGGCCGGCAGTGGGAAGTCGACACTTATGAAGTTTGCCTCCCAGCACGCGTCCACTCAGAGCCCGCTGCGACGATGGGCAGGTCCGGCAAAGCTCTGCACTGCATCCTACTACTTTTGGAACCAGGGCTTCAACCTGCAAAAGTCCCGAGTGGGCCTCCTACGAACCCTCATCTTCGAGATCCTCCGAAGCTCGCCCAGCATCATCCCGCAGGTCGCAAAGGGGCGCAGCAGGTTCGACAGTTGGGAGAGAGCCGAGCTCGAATCGACACTGCGGCTCATCGCAGAGCAGGACCAGCTCCCAATGAGATTCTGCTTCTTCATAGACGGGCTTGACGAGTACGACGGCATGGAGGAGGACGTGGTCGAGGTACTGACGTTTCTCGCGGCGACGGCCCACATCAAGCTGTGCGTGTCGACGCGGCCCCGGAGCGTCTTTGACCGCGTCTTCAACCTGCCGGCCAACGCCCTAGTCCTCCACAATTACACCATGGACGGCATCCGGAGTCATATTTCCAAGACGCTGCTGGAAAACGACATGTTTGACAAGTTGGAGCCCGAAAGTCGTGAAGGCATCATCAAAAAGATCGCCCAGCAGGCCCAAGGGGTCTGGCTCTGGGTGTACCTTGTCATCCGGGACATACGTTTGGCCGTCAACCGCAACGAGCCGGTCGAGAAACTGGAGCAAATCGTTTCCAACCTGCCGGTTGACTTGGAGGCTTATTTTGAGCGCAGTATCCAGAGAATTCATCCGAGCTTCAGGCGGGAGATGGCCGAGACGTTCCTTATAACCATCGAGGAGGTCCAGCCGCTCCCGCTGTTTGCTTTCGAACTTTTGGAAACGGAACGCCGCGACCCGGACTATGCAATACGGGCGCCTGTCGAGCCTTTAAACAGCGGAACAATCCGGTCATCGCGCGTGATCTGGGCCGATCGCGTCCAAAACCGCTGCGGGGACCTCCTAGACGTGAGCGACGGCGCGCACCCGACGTTTCTGTGGCACCCAGTCGACTTTCTGCACCGCACCGTGCGCGACTTCCTCCGCGACTCGTACTCGGACCAACTAAAACGCGAGCTCGGCTCCGCGTCTGACTTCGACGCGCCGCTGTCGCTGTGCAAGGTGATGCTGCGGCTGCTCAAGGGCCTCCCCAAGGGCCGCTTTTCGGAGGAGGAGTCGTTCAACCGCGTCGTCCGGCTCGTTGACGAGCTCCTCTACTACGCGCACGAGGTGGAGAAGCGAAGCGGCGGCAACGACGGGGGCAGCAGCAACAGCTATCCAAAGTCGACCATGGTCGCCTTGCTGGACGAGGTGGACCGCGTCAACAGCCGCTACGCAAAATACGCCAGGGTTTCCAGCCACTGGACAAACGTGCGAGACCTGCCTAGGTCCAGGTTCCTCAGCTGGGACGAGTACCACGAGCGCGGCAGGTGCGACTTCATCGCCCTCGCCATCCAGGCGCGCCTCACGCGCTACGTCGGCGCCAAGCTCACCTCGTCGCCCGACGAGGGGCGCACGCTCATGGGCCGCAAGCAGGGGAGGCCGTACCTCGGCTACGCCCTGCGCCCGCTGCGCGTTACGCCCGTCAAGATGCCGTACCACTCGGTCCGGGACGACGCGCCCGTCGACGTCGTCATGGTGGCGCTGCTCCTGTCGCCGCCGCTCTCGGCGGACCCGAACCAGCAGGTGTACGTCAACGACGGCCGGACCGTCTGGGCGCTCTTTCTCGTGTCGTGCCTGCAGATGAACCGGCGCGGCGAGGCGGCGGGCAGTGAGGCCGTCAAGGAGGCCTGGCTCGGCGCGTGCAAGCTGCTCATCAGGCACGGCGCCCGCGAGGACTGCTTCCGCGTCGGCAACTGGGACAACTTCGACGAGAGCCGCCCGCGGTCCGTCCACGAGGTGTTTGGCGAACTCTTCGGCGCCGAGCAGGCGGGCGTCTTGTCCCGGATGATGGAGGAGGAGGCGCAGGCCCGACGCGGGACTGGCTGGTTCTCGAGTTGGGGCCCCTTTGGTTGGGCAGCCCAGGGCTTAGCATGGAAGGCAGCTTGAGCCCCCTCTCTGCTCCGACGTCCCAAGACTGGCAAATCATACCTGTAGGAATCTGCAATACTACCATGTTTAGCATGGGGAGCCGCCCTTTTTACCCTCCGTAATACTTTTTAGACCCTAAACCTAATCTAAAGGAATTTTTTTTTTAAAAAAAACCCCCCCGAATGGATTTTGGCCTCACCCGCATACCTACCTACCTACCTACCTACCTAGTCAGCTTCGTTGGCGGTCGACACCTTCAACCAGTCAACGTACGGGCCGCTTTGCTACGAGCCCACGGGTGTACGTACTGGCAGAGACCAGGCTCGGCGACCATCAGCGTTCCGAGGCAAAGGCGCAGCTAGGAGTCTGGACTGCCGCGTGGCCAAGCTTTGCGCCGCTTCCTTCGGCGGATCCAGAGACCCGGGCGGATCTACAGACCCCGGCGGCGCTACCATCCATTCCCCTCTTGCTTTCCATCAACAAGACCCGGGAGTTGTACTTGCCTTTGAACATGGGCGGAACCGATTGTATTTTGGAGTCGTATCGCCTACCTAGGCAGGTAGGTACCTACTCGCGGTTTTGCGACTGCTGGCCAGATGGGTTCCTGGAAAGTTCCGCATTCCGCATGGGTCGAGCAATTTGCTGCGTATAGCAGCAGTACGACTGCATCCCGACGATGCAAGTTACGCCTTTCCCGTCATGGCAGGACGGAGACACGCGAGCGCTGGTGGTTGTAAAAAGAGCCAATGGGATGACTGGATGAAATGCGGAGAATCGTTGACCGAAAATCACACCCATTTCTGTCGGCCATGCACCCTTTTTGCCCATGACAATCCATGCGCTCGAGGATGGGTAGCATCGGCGGACGCTACGCCACCCTGGGACAACACCTTACTGGATGAACTGCCACATTTACACGCGTTTTGCTCGAACCAGCTATGCAGAAAGCGAGAGGTGCTTCGGGGTGGTGTCGCTGTCTGGTATAGAACAAGGAAGTCGGATTCGATGGCCTATGTGGCATGCCACGCAGTATTCCAAGCAGCCGTGTAAGTTGAAATACCGGCCATCCACCCTCCGCGCTGGCATATGTTGTTAGTCTACTTCATTGCTCGCCACATCTAGCTAAAGATCCTGCCTATATGTCCTCTGTTGATCACATCGAAACACTACTAGTAAAAGTTCTGGCCTAGATAAAATGCGCACGGTGAAAAGAACAATGCCTGAAAAATTTACCACGCCACGAGCTGGACAGCCGTCAAAGGCCCTGTGGGTGTTGTCGTTACCGCCGTCCGGCCGACTTACCCTGGAGAGGCTTCTTGGCACCCTGGGCGCCGTCGTTTCCCTCATTGCCTGTCTCGTCTCCGTAGCATCTCTTATCAGGTCGTCAACCGTAGCGCCCATGCTCTCCTTCGTCTCACACTTTCCCACCCCGGACATCTCTTCCATCGCCATCTTCTCCGCCAAGCCGATCAAGACAAACCTCAGCCAGCCAGCCACAACGTCGCCCATCAGCACCACCATCGCCCCATTCGTCTGCGACGACACCCACGCCTACCGGATCGAGATCATCTCCGCATCCCCGCTCGTAAATGAGTTGTTGCAGGCGTTAGTTTTTTGTTGTTTCTCTTTCTTTTTTCTCTCGTCCCTTTTCTCACCCTCTTCATATCCCTAGAGTATAATTGCACCATAAACTAGAGGCTTTTTCGGCAGCAAATTCGGATTCGAGTAGAATTTTCGTTCGTAGCGCCAATCGACTGTGTTCTAGTTTTCGACCATGGCTGTAACAAATTACACAGTACAAAATTCTGCTGGCAGAATTCTTTAGACACGCTCATTACATAACACAAAATCCTGCCGGCAGAATTCTTTAAACACGCTTAATTACATAATGTAAAATTCTGCCAGCAGAATTCTTTAGACACGCTTAATTACGTAACGCAAAATTCTGCCGGCGGAATTCTTTGGACACGCTTAATTACGTAACGCAAAATTTTGCCGGCAGAATGTTTTGCACGCATTGAATTACACAAAATAATTCTGCCGGCAGAATTCCAATGTAACACTTATGGTGCAATGTGCGCTTCGCCTGCTACAAACAAGCGTCTGCTCCCATCCATGCTAATGGCGGCTGTACGCACAGCACAGGCACCACCAAGCAGTATAACGCTGCAGGTGCTAGCCGGCCTGGACACGCGGTAGAATTCCCGGGTCGGCAGCGACTGTCGCCGGCGCTACCTGGACCCAACCTCGCCGCGCCGATAAGCCTACTTGGCCTTATGTCTCGATTTTCGCCATTTTCCCATTTGAGTCGACCAAGAGCTTGCCGCTTTCGTCGCGCGTTATGTCGACCTGGTCGATATGGTCCTCCCGGCTTCCATGCCGCCGGCTTACGCTCCTTGGGCTCCTCCGAACTGGCCGCGTTGCTCCCGTTGAAACGCGCGTCTTGGCCGAGGACGCTTTGCCGGTCGCCGGTCGGCCGCGCTTCTTCGGCTTGATTGCCTTTTGCGTCTTGGCGTACAACGTTTTAACGCCCCTATTTTAGTGAGGTTCTCGCCACAGCCTCCGCACGTCCGCGGGCCCAGAGCGATACGATGGAACCGGGCTACGGACGCTGGCCTTTACCTCAAAGCCATACGAGGCAGTACACTGCTTCTCCATGCTACGTTCCTGTGACGGCCCAGGGCAGTTAACCGCACGCCGCAGGTATCCACGTGAGCACGCGCCGCGGAACAGCCCGTGCGACAAGACGCCGCACCACCTTTTCTTCCGCATCGCGTGCCCGGCGCTCCGCGCCTCTCTCCCTTTCCCTCCCCATAGAAGAGTCTTTCGTCCATAGCATCAATTGAGCCTGGCCGCGAAGCCTACTCTTCCCGATCGTGACGGGGGAACATCCGCGGGATCGACGTCGGTGGGTATATGAGAAAGGAAGCCTGGAGCCGGGAAACCGGCAAAGGGCGACCGATCTCAGCGGTCGGGGTGCAGCGGGCAGTGGTTGCAGGGGCCTCCGGGCCCCAGCAGTACTGTTCCGTCCTGCCCACGGCGTGCTAGGCCTACCCTTCCCGGCGCGTAAGCGGCGGCGGGAGGCCGGCACGGCGGACCGCTTTAGCAGTCAGTTCCCCTGTGGGCCGCCTTCGGGCGCTAAGAAGGGGTTTGCTGCTGCTCGCAGTCAGTTCCCCTGTGGACAGCCCTGGGGCCCGAAGGAGGGGTTTGCTGCAGCCCAAAGCGGCTTTAGCCGCGGCGGGCACGTCCCTTATCTGAACCGGCCGTCGTCGCGTGGACCGTTATGCAGCCTTGTAGGAGACACACCTCGGTCAAGGCGGATCATGGCGGCGGCCAACCCCTGGAACGGCGCACGCCACGGCGTTTGCGCCTAACCAGAACGCCCTTTCGCGGCGGCGCCCCCGCGCTGTCGCAAGAGGTTGGGCTCTGAAGACCGCTGGCCCCGTGGCCAAATATCAGAAGAGCATCGGGAGACACCCACCCGCCGGGGACGCCGAACAGCTGAACCTCCGGGGCGAGGACTCCTCCTAGGCAACCTAGGCGGCACCCGGCCCCCTGAACGGGGCCTCGTGCCGGCCGAAAGCAGCCTGGAGAACAGAGAGGGGGAAAGCGGTTGCCTCCGCGGGCGGCAACGGCGCTGTTCCTCAAGGTATAAAGACACGACAAGCAAAAAAGCGATTAGCATTGTTTGCGGAACGACGCCGACAGCGCCGACAGCGGTGGAAGGAGACATTAGTCTTATTGCGTAGGCATACAAGCCCTGCCGTGCAGACGCACGAGGAGACGAACCCGCCCGATGGGCCGACAGCAACGGTATGGAATTCGCCCGAAAAATCGACCTACACACGAAGCCGGAGGAATTCCCGACGTGGTATTTTCCAACGTCCCTCTACCGCCACTAAGGTCACAAAGGAACCACAAACCATGCCCAATGCCGGACGGTTGGGTAGAGGACTTGCAAAAGGGTCCAAAGAGCGATGTGATACGAACTGCCACAAATGCCTAATGCCAGCGATATGACACGGACTGCCACAGATGCCCAATGCCGAACGGTTGGGTAGAGGACTTGCAAAAGGGTTCAAAGAGCGATGTAACAAAAGTAAGGCTGCCGGGCCGACCTAATCGACCCGCCAGAGGTTCGGTTGGGGATGTAACTACGTACCTCGCACAAACCACAGAACGGGTTACTTAAACCTGCTTGGGGGGCGTGGAGGCTTCGGGAGGTTTACTCTTTTAAACATCTTTAAAGGCTTGAGGGATTTTTATCGGCAGAAATCATTCCCCAACTTCCCATTCCCCTTACACGAGGCAACCTCGCAACACCATCCCAGTGTCCAAAATGGTGGGCAGCGGTAACCCCTCCGAGTACGCCCTGGCGGTTCAGAAAGAGGCCAGGGAAGCCGCCGAGTCCGTCCCGGCGCGCAGCATGGTCAAAAGTGGTACGTGGGCAAGCCCCCTCGCAACCGCGCCGTCCGCGGTATGCACAATGGCCGTCCTCCTCAGGACAGCGGCCTCGGCCGCGGCTGCTGGCGTCGCCGTCAAGTCACGGGATGTGAAGGGTGACAGGGGTGAGATTATTGGTGAACTGCCGTATGTCCGAGTCCCTATCCAAAATCGTACAATATTACCAGATGCGTGGAACTTACTGAAACTCGTTCTTCTTTTCGCCCCTCTAGCCACGAACTGCTCTACGCAAACCCGGAACCCTGTTCCAACCTCGGTCGAAACGCGTTTACGGACGCCCGCAGCACCATGAGCTACATCAACAAGGTCGCGATAAAGATGATCGAAAACAAGGGCAAGCTTGAAAGCATCCTCCGCGCCATCGACGAGGTAGACGATGATGACGAAGACGATAATGACGGCGCCACCTTGGTCGACGACGTCAACGATGTTAGGGAAAGCACGGCGGGCTGCCTGGCGAAGATCAAGGACCTCACTAGATCTTTCCAGTACTGGTACCGGATGATTCAATGCCTAAAGGAGAACGTTGCCGCCTGCCAAGGTACGTACAAGCTTAGGCACTCGCACATTTCCGGGGACACCGGAATCTAATCGAACGTACACTTTGCAGGAAGAAAGAAAAGGAAGCAAATGTAAATGGAGACTCGCTGCAGAAGAACGCGGCTGAGAAGAAAAAGCTCGCCGAGAAGGACAAGTCCACATCCGAAACCATCGAGAAATTGCAGCAGCAACTCAAGGACGCCGAGAAGAGAGTCTCCGAGGCCTCAGCCTACATGAAAGAGCTGGAGAGCGTGGTGCCGGTTATCACCGAGCCGAGCCTGGAGGAAAAGCACCTCAGTGTGGAGAAGAAGATTATCCAGCTCGAAAAAAGTGAGTAACCTGCCGAACCGACCCCTTCCGATTTACCCTCGAGGGCTCTGCTAACGCAATGACAAACAGAGAAGGGGCTCCTTGGTCGGGCGAAGGAGTTTATTAAGGGCGAGAGCACCAAAGATTTTATGGCCCGGACGGAACACCAGCGCGACACCGAGCAGCGGCGGGACGAGATCATCGAGCGGGAAAGAAAGCAGAGAGAGTCGCAGAAGGAGGAGGCGCGGCGGGCCCTGGCAGAGGCACGCGCCCATGAAAAAGATCTCAGCGACAAGGTGACCCAGCTTATCGCCGACATCGGTAGGAACAAGGAGAAGTTGGCGTCGGCCATGGCCAGCCTCGACAGCGCTGAACCACAGTTTAAGCGCCTCGAAGAGGAGAAGCTTGACCTCGTAGGTTTACTTACCCGGCTGCTGGAACCGCACACGTGCTAATTTGCCCTTGGAAACAGAACGGTATTTTGGCGATTTTGGAGGACTCAAGTCGTGAACTGGGAGTGTTGAGGACGCAGGTCCAGGAACTCGTCACGTTCTTCAAAGATATTCTCAGTGAAGTCGACCTGGCAGTGCAGGAGGATGTCGAGAAGGCATTCCTCCGGCCGATTGAAAACAAAATGACATACAACAGGGATAAAGTCTGCCAAGGTGTAAAGATGGGGCCGAAGATCAAATTGGTATGTACACGTGCGCCTACTGCGTTGACTGTTACCCCTCTTCGGTGCCCCAAAAAGGCAAAGCAGCTGAACTCGATTGGCGCTCTTCCAGAAGGTCCACAACAGTGCCATCAAGATCCAGGGCAGCTTTTGCGCCATCGGGGACATCACGGGCGTCTATGTCCTGGCCTCGGATCGTTATATCATCCCGGCCATTAATAGGATGGGGGCCCTTGCTGACGCCAAGGACGAAGACTTGCCCGCCCAAAAAGAGGACTTCACCAGCTGGTGCCGTCAGTCCATGGAAGAAATCCAGGTTTTGACCAAGGCGGCCGACGCAGAGATGCTGCCGCATATGACTGAGCGTCTCCAGCATTTGCAGCTGGCCATAAGGCCCGCCCACTGAGGCAGGTGTGCCCGCATCACACAATTGTTCGGGGAGGAGGAGGAGAGAGAGTGGACGAAGGAGAATACCATGTCGATGTTGCATCGTGGCCAGTGTAATTGTCGTGTGTTTTTTGAGCGGAGTTGTTTGTAGCTAGCACCTTGACGGGCATGTTGAGTTTTCTGCGTCGTCCATCGTTTTTAGCCGCGGTCACCCGCTCTATGTAGAGCGGTGGCCGGTCTCTACGTTTGACCAAAGAACCAAAACTGGCCCGTGAGGTTTACTAGACCAAGTCCCAGTCACGCCCAACACGCAATTCCGTCATTTACGGCGCTTCTGCGTGCTTTCAAGCGAGCTGTGGTGGCTTTCAAATACCCCTCTCCTCAACAGGGCCAGGCGACGGCTGGTGGGGCCTAGATTTTTATAGGGCCAGGGCATCCCCCGAAAGTAAACGAGTGATTGTCATCCAATCCAGCAAGCGTAAAAGCCGGCCTCGACAGGCACTAGGCCAGCCGTAGAAGGGGTGGCGATGCCTGTGGCGCCAGCCACGAGGGACAGCACCGCCCCGAGCGAGCAACGCACTCGGGGGTTGGGGAGCCACCACGGGTAGAGCGAGCACGTCACCCAACCGGCCACCTTGTCGCAAAGGAGCGGGTTCCTATGGGGGATCTACCAGCGCAGGCCCCGGTGTTCGTTAGACACCGCGTTCCACAACCCGGTGTTCGTTAGAGACCCTCGTCGGCCTCAGCGAGTGTGTGTCACGCACCGGCCGAGGCAGACGAGAGCTCGACATCTCCACCACACTTTCCGTGTATATAGAGCCCGAGGGTCTCCCACCCTCAACAGCATTTTCTACTAGTTCTTCAGAGGTAGAGATCAAGCCAATCGGTCTACTACATGCACCTCTACTTCACAATACACCTTCCCACCTGGGCCACGCATCGGCCAAGTCCTCGTCGAGACTGACGAACCCAAACCAACCGCCGAGGCTTCCAAGCGTGCAAACCCCCAAGGGCTGAAGCGGAAAGCTTCCTCCCCGCTGACCAGCCCCGCTGCTAGCCGCCAGCCTTTAAACCCGCCATTGCCAGCGCTACTGCTCACCACCTCCTTAGGTGTCTTACCTTAGGAGCAGAGGCCTCTCGTGGCTGCAGAGATTTATCTGCAGCCCGTGGTTCTAAGCGGCGTGGACCGGCAGAATCCAATGGGGTGGAAGCCCTGCAAAAGGCCTACCACTCCATTGGGTCGAGACGACCGTGCGTAACTGCTAGCTCGGCTTGCCAGCTATAACGAACGGTACAATAAATAAACACTCGACTCGGTCGTCCACTTCCTCCGTTTCGAGGAACGTTTGAGAGCGTGCGATATCGACGCGTCAAAGGCCGTTAAGGCGCGACGACAAATCGGTATTGTTTCATTTTGGGCGCAACGCGTGCTGCTGGTCTGCGCACTGGATTGGACAGGGCATGCCGAGACATTTTCGTTAGTTTACCGCTCCTTGCGCCGCTGGAACACGATTTGCGGTGCTGCGACGTGGAAATGATTGGCTGTGGATGTGTTTTGGCAAAAGCCATTACAGCCTTAAGGCTTTGCGGCATTTAACTGGCCACAGCCCGCTTTAGCGGTGATATTTTCTCTTTTTGGTTCGAAATGTGCAAATAAAGTCCGGCCAGAAATTTATCCATAGAGCTTGCATAAGTGCCACACCCCCAGGAACGCTATTTACCAATAGATTTGCAGGACAGTATCAGCTACGTTCACAGCCCTTCCGATTTGTCTGCCCGCTTTCATTACAGCCCAATTCTGCACCCATCACCCCATGATTAACATTTCGTAGCCCTTACGGCCTGGGATCCCTTTTGGTTTGTCTAGCCCTTCTGGCTAGCGCTCGTTGCAACCTAACCATTTGCTACTCCGCTCACATTTCGGTCCAATACCACATCCTATCAGCCAAATTCGGGGTGTTGGTGGCCTGCAGAAGCAGAAGCAACCAGTCCTCCTATGATTGCGAAGTGTTAAAAATAAGCACAATATGTACCAGGGTACCTACCCTGTAGCCCCTACCCTGCACTTGTGCTGGTTGGGCTAGTTTATGTATATAGCTTTAGGTTAAATGCGTGCATGTGTGCGTGCGTGCATTTAACTTACCCTACACTTCCTGCACGCTTTGGTGGGATTGGTGGCAACGCTAGCTACCCTGTAAAGGTTGCCACCACACGAATCACCCACCCTGCAGAAGCCCCCACACGACGGAGTCAACTTTGGAAGCCGAACGCAGAGATGGCTTTGGTGGCTGTGGGCTGATTTTTAAAAATCCCCATACTAAATAGTTTTTCGGAAAATCGCGCGCGGCACCGCAACCCCCAGGGGGAGAAAACACGCAGGATCGATATCGGTGGGTATACGAGTGAACAGAGTTGGCTGTTCCTCACACACAATCAAATCAAGCCTGTATCCCAACGTGCTTGGGGCCCTGCACAGCGCTAATTTAGTGCATTGCAGGGCCCGACCTAACTAAACGTGCGCCCTGCCGTCCCTGTGATTAGCGCATGCATTCCCACTGTGCCTGTTCATTTTAAAACGAAGGGCCCACGCGCACAACCTGACCAAAGTGTTCCAGCCTGACCAAAGCTGCGCCATTTGGGACTGAACAGAGCCTCCCTGTCTTCCCATCCAATTTCCCGTTCTTTCTGTTCGTCCCTTTTTGCATCCCCATTCCGTGCGCCTTTTGTCCCGCCGTTCAAACTTTGGCTACCTCGTTCTATGCTGGCGCTATCTCTGGGCCATACATTTTCCGGTTTTCGTGTGCTATTCGGTTCTTCCTACCCTGCTGGTGCTACCTTGCACAAAATAAGAGATTCGATCATAGCATATCCGCCGTTTCCCCTCCCTGGTCACATCTCTTCTTTTTCGTACCCTTTTACCTCCTCCGCCTCGTTGCTCTCCTATTGCCATTTACCATGTCGCCACCGATCGACCGCAGCGGTTTCCATCTAGCCATTATCTGTGCGTTGCGCGTCGAATCGGACGCTGTGAAGCTCCTTTTCGACGATATTTACGAGAAAAAGTACGGACGGGAAACCGGCGATACCAACACATACACGACGGGCCGCATCGGGAACCATGCCGTCGTACTTCTCCTGCTTCCATGCATGGGGATGGAGGCATCGGCGGCAAGCGCAAGGAGCTTGCAGTCGAGCTATACCAATATCAAACTTGCCCTGATCGTCGGTGTTTGCGGAGGTTTGCCCCAGATCCGTGGTCGGGACGCCTTTTTGGGTGACGTGATCGTTAGCAAGAGCATCCTCAACCATAACTTCGGCAGGCAATACCCCGACAAGTTCGTCGTTAGGTTCACCGAGGATACATTGGGGCAAACCAATAACTATATCCGCGGACTGCTCGAGCTTTTGGAAGGTAAGGACGAGCTGGACCGCCTGCAGAAAAAGGCAAGGGCGAATCTGGTGACTCTGCAAGCCGCCGCCACCGCCGCCGACAAGGAGTGAGGGACCAGCTACAGCCCTCCTTCCGACGACGCCGACACGATGTTCCCTGCGAAATACAACCATATCCATCGGGACGAAGATTGTGCGGATTGTGATGAAGATCCCCCGCGCTTTTGTGAGCAGGCCTCCAGGCTCTCTTGCGACGACGTTGGGTGCAAAACGCGCCTTTGTACCCCGAGGGGGAACCGGCAGCAGGAACGCCCGGTGGAGCTCGTCCCCCAGGTTTTCATGGGCAGGGTGGCCAGCGGCAACGCGGTTATGAAATCGGGCAAACACCGCGACGCAGTTGCCAAGGAGCACGACGTGATCGCCTTCGAAATGGAAGGGGCCGGGGCCTGGAAGGAGGTCCCTTGCATCGTCGTTAAGGGCATGTGTGACTACGCCGATAGCCACAAAAATAAGGAATGGCAGAACTTCGCTGCGGCAACGGCGGCTTCGGTGGCCGCGGCGATCCTAGACAAATACGAGGTGCCAGGCGGCGCCATGGAAGGAGTCGGGCAGACGCCGCTATTGTTGGCCGCGCAGAACGGGGGCGAGGCCGTCGTCAAGCTGCTGCTCGCCACAGGCAAGGTCGACGCCGACTCGAAGGATAGCTACGGGCGGACGCCGCTATGGTTGGCCGCGCAAAATGAACACGAGGCCGTCATCGAGCTGCTGTCGAAGGATGGGGACGGGCCCGCCGTTGCGAAACTTCTCGAATAACGACTTTACCACCTCCCCACTTACCACCTACTACCTACTTTTAATTATATACTTAAGACGTGGCAAATAGAAGGCCCTAAGAATGTGAAAGAATGTTGCTAAGCTAATGCTTGTTAAATGGTGGCAGCTCCGTGTGGCAATTGCACTGGGGTGCTCTGCTGGATTTATGACGTAGCGAATTTTTTGTTTCAGTGGGTTAGCCCTCGTGACCACTCGTAAACGCGACGCTTTTTTCCGTCGGTTATTGTCACGGCCATGGTCGAGGACTAGAACACAGTCAATTGGCGCTACGAACGAAGATTCTAATCTAAGGAAGAAAGGAAAGAAAGAGGGGATTCCAGTGTTCGGCGCGCGTTCGGCGCGTCTTGACAATGGACCATCGTGTGGGTCCGGGTCTGCGGGTCAAGGCCCACAGGCCTGGACCCAGATCGTCACAATGGTCGGCCGTGTGGGTCTTGATCCACCCCGTCACAGTTATCAGCGGCCCTTTTAAACCGCGATTTTACTCCCAAACGCGTAGGGATCAACTTCGAGCGCTACTTGCGCGGGTTAAAAGCACCCGCGAAAATCGGCCCTCTGTGTGAAAGGCACAGCCCAGATGCAGTACGCACTGGTATGGCCAAAAGGAATCTATTTTCTATAGGGAAAGAAAGGAGGAAAAGCTGATCGGAAGGACGGGCGGAGAGGTCGGGTTTTGAAGGTGGAGTTGAGGCCCGTGTGCGGTCGCCGCCACAACGTGGCGCGGTCGCCGTGGATGCGTCGCGATGCCAGATCGGCTTAATTATCACGGGGCGGCGCGAGAACTAGGCAGCATGGTCTGATATTCGTGGTTGCACGAGGAGTGCAACATCCATCGTGGCCTGGGTGCGGGAGCTATGTCATGGCATCTGGTGGGGCGGAGCACGTGCCTAGTCACCTGACTAGACACGTGCGTAAGTCACAGGTGTGCTTGTGACGCTTACCCCCCTCGTCGAAAAGAAGCGCCCTCCGAGGTCTAGTATATATGAATACCAATCTATCTAAGATCGTGGGCTACGTCGGCGCTGAGTGTTCCTCCTTTTGACCCATGCTGGCGGCGGGGGGTGACCTGGGTGAGAGTTATGGAACTCCCGGGTGGCGTCGTCACAGCCTTTCAAGTCTGCGACTGGCTGCCACGAAGGTGGATGTGGTGGCTTCCATTGAACATGGTATTGCCAGCGCCCGTTGTCAGCTTTGCCGTAATCCAGGATTCGGTCAAACTCCCATTCGATGACAGGGCAGTCGTGGTGGTCATCTGTTCGGGTCAGGACACGTCCTTGGTTTGCACGGACATCGCCTGCCGTCTGGTTCTGGCCGGGAATGCCCTCGCCTCGGCGCGGGCGGACAAGGCTGACGTGGAAAGTGTTAAAGATCCGCATGTTGTCGGGGAGCTCCAGCGTGACGGCATGACTACTGGTTTTGGTGATCCTGAAGGTCCTTCCCATTTCGGGGTTAACTTGTCCAAGGGGCGTCCTGCCTCGATATTGGTTGTGTTAAGCATAACCCAGTCGTTAACATGGTAGACAGGGGCGTCTTCGCGGCGGGTGTTGGCGTTCTTCTCGTAACGGTCTTGGGCTTGGCGTGATATGGCTTTGAGCTGGTCAAGGATGGCTATGAAGCGGTTGGCTATTTCTTGAGCGTTGAAAAACTCGCGGCGTTGGGGTCCGGAAAGGTCTGGCGGTGCAGGCCGTGGGGGTTCCACACCCATGCGCGGGTGAAAGCCGTAGTTTGCAAAAAATGGAGACACTCCAGTCGTCTCAGAGACCATGTTGTTCCCGGCAAAGGGCTCGGCCCAAGATACATCCCAAGGACACCTCGTTCACCAGGAAAACCTTGTGCCAGCCGGTCAACATGGCAATTGACTGCGGCCAGAAGGCTTTTTGCTGGTCCTCGCAATAAAGGGTGGCAAAGGCGATTCGTTTAGGAGAGAAAGGCAGTCGAGTTGGGGCAGCTGGTGGTGGGTGAGCATAATTTATGTGCAGCCCCGGCTGTGGTTAGGACAGGGGCGATCTGATAAACTGATGGGGGAGGGTGGAGATGGAGAGGGAAGAGAAGGAGAAGAGAGAAGGGAAAGACACGACCGCGGTCGGCTGCCGAATTTCGTCCTGGGCGTTGGGTCTTCAGGAAATTCCAGACTTAGCCAGCTGCGGGTGTAGTGGCAACTGATCTGTGGAGCGTGGAACGGCGTCTTGGGCGGTGTGGAGAGAGTATTAGTCATCACGGGAAAGACCCACTAGTTTTCCTACCTTTGAGGGCCTCCCTCGCGTTGGCCTGGAGGGCCCTAGCCTAGGTCAATTGTTTTAGCGGAAAAGGCCCCCTTTGCAGCCACACTGCCGAAAGCTATGCGCCGTCTAGGGCAGGCAGGTGATTGAACGAGCGGTTCGAACGATCCGATTCATTGGAAAATTTCCCTGCCGTCATCCATCCGCATCCGCGGCCCTCCCCCCTTGTTCAGGGATGATGCATATGGGTTGGAACACAAGTGGCTGAATTGGAACTCGCGGTTGGTTTGGTGCTTTCGGTGGGTTTTGGCACTACAGTCCAAAGGAGAACAGGAGAACACAAAAGAATACAAGACTAGTGTCTGGTTAAACAACCCTAAAGACTTCCTCGCGAACTTCTTCCCTGTCAAGCATGTCCACAGACTCCCCATTCATAAACCCATGCATGTAGCACTCTCCAACCATCAAGTAGTGCTGAGAGCCTAGACAGGGGCGGAGACAAAACGGCATCTTCCCGCCGAAGAGCACGTAGACAACGTCGCCCTCCTCCATGACTCCCGGCCCCATCACATAGTACCCCTTGGTCGTCCGGGCAAACTTTCGCTGGCTCGACGCGCCGGTCGCCGCACGGCCCCATTTTTGCGCGTCTCCCTGGTCGGCCAGCGAGCAGAGCTCCGGAGAGATGAGCGCCCTGTCCACCACGGCGGCGAGGTAGGCAGCGGCGTGCGCGAGCCATTTCCGCTGTGGGATGGCGCCGTAGTCCTCGAGGGCGTGGTCCTGCCAATAAATGGCCATGCAGCCATTGCTCAGCGTCTGGGTGTAGGCGAAGAAGCTGCTGCTGCTCCCCCCTCCCCCGCCGGCATACTCGTCGCTGAGATCGAAGCCGTTTGTCTTCCCGCAGACGTCCGTCCATAGAACTTCGATTGCGGCCCGCTCCCTGTCCCCCTTGGCGGTTTTCCGATCGTGAAACCCCCCCTTTTGCAGCAGGTCGGAGCAGGCTTCGATCCGGTCCATCTCTATTCCGCGAATCTCGAGCACCTTTGAATCGCGGATGCTCATATTGGGCTTCGTCAGGCCGCAGGCGCGGTGAGGGCTGGTGGGTTCCGACATGATGTGTCCGTGGTGGGTTCTCCAGTCCGGCACCCACGACGGCAGCGTATGGCCCCTTTGCCCTTGTGGAATTTCGGCCGCGAAAGGGAGTTTCGTATGCTGCACGGCCCCAAGGGTGATAAGGGACTCGTCGTCCCCGATCAGGGCTCTTACGGCCACGTCAGTGTAAACCTCCTCGACCGAGCTCGAATAGTCCGCCGTCAGCGCCTTCAGCTCGCTATTGCGTCCCGCGCGGATGGAGTAATGGCCCAGCATGGCGAACACGCGGTCTCGGTCGTCGCTGACCTTCAGGTGTCTTGCACGGTGGAGCCCGTAAAGGAAGCTGAAGCGGTTATCGTGCCGGCTAATTTTTTCGGGCTCGACAAAGCGGCGGTAGAGATACTTGATTTCCGACGTCGCCACTTTAAACTTAACCCTCAGGTAATGGTATTCTGCGAGTTTTTCGCATACGTCGTGCAGCTCGTCCCACGCCATTTCCGCTTTCCCCCAAAGCAGGGTTGCAGGCGCCTTGGTGCCGATCTCCTGAACGATCCAGCCGCGTTGGAACTATGGTGGCATTCCTCTAATCAGCATCGGCATTCCCATTCCAAATGACGAGGAGTCTCGCGCTCAATCAAACTAACCCATGGTAGATCCGTTATGTTTTTCAGGGGTTTCCAGGCCGATTGGTCGGCCAGATTATCGGTGCTAGCGGTTTTAAAGATGGGATGCTTTTTGTCGGCGAGGAGCCCGGCCAGCTCTCGCACAAAGCCGAAGGCCTTTTCCGCCAAATGGTGCTCGTCGAGGCCGAGCCAAACCTGTATGCTGCTCCCGCCGCGGTAGATCCGGTTCATGAACTGCACCTGCTGCGACCTTTCTGCTTCGTTGCCCTGGTCGATGCAGATCTGGTCGGCCCACACGCGCCGCGGCCCCGTCTGCAACCGGAGCTGCCGCAGGGCGTGGTATAGGCTCGCCGTAATGGAGAGCTCTGCATCGGGTAGACGTATCTTGTGCGTGAGCGTGTCGTTTCCCCAAACGTACGAGAGAGGCTCGTAAGCCCCGATATCGTCGACGGCGGCGAGCTCAAGCAACCCCGTGAGAGGGTCGTCGGGGTTTCCGCCCCATAGCGTCAAGATTCGGATGGTATTTTGGGGCAGGGGCTGATAAGTGTAAGTGTCTGGTTGATGATTTTTAGAGACCCTCCCGAAGATGCGAGAGAGGAGGTGGCCCATCTCGACGGAAGAAAGATTGTAGAAAGTCCTTACAGGGTGGGAATTAATTAGCCCTTCATTCGGAAGCACACTACGGATGGAACAATGCCCCTTGGTAAGGTAGTTATTTGCCTGGCATTGGTGACCACCACCCGGGGCAGGCCCAAGCGGACGACCACCGCGGCAGGCCATTTTCCAGCTACCAATTCTCCTTTGATTTTGTTGGTTTGGCGCAGTTGGTGACCGCATGTGATATATGCGGCCGTCACGCATCTTACCAGTAAGGTTTGACCTCGCGATCCAGTCTTTGTCCTTGGCGGCTGCCTTGCGTCTGGTGCTGGCCCCAATCGGGAGACCGTAGTGGCAATTCGGGCCCGAGGTTGGGCGTCTGCGTTTCATCAGGTCGCGAGGAGGTTCTCGCCCGGTTTCTTTGGCTCGTTTGGCGTTTGGTCGGCGTGCGTGACCTGGTTGGGTGACGGCGGCGGCGGCGGGTTGGGCATCGTGCGGTTCCGGTTCGCCAACGGGGCACTGACGACTTTAATTGTTTAGTCCCGCTAGTTTTCCGGGTGCACGCACAGCCCATGCGGGAAAAAGTATTATTGGGAATGTCGTCGAAGCGTTTGCTTTGCCTCTCAGTGTTTTGCTCGTTCCGCGACGCTAATTTACATTTGTAGCTGTCTTTTTTGAAGCCCAGTCCCATCACGACCAGCTCCCATCACGACCAGCCATCGATATGACGCAGTAGGATACCCTATCTTAGGCACTACCTGGAGTACTACCTAAATACTGACTGAATAGCTCCCACCATGGCGCTTAATAGCCCGCAAGAGCCTCCGAAGGACGACGAGGAGGAAGAGCTTCTGAAAGAGCTTTCGAAGAAGGACGACAAACTGGAAGAACTTCTGAAAGAGCTTAAAGAAGTTTACGACAGCGAGGTCCGCGAGTACCAGCGATGTTTGAAAATAGTTGCCCAAGACCTGGGACACGTGCTGGCCCAGGAGGCCATCCGGCACCTCCCCGTCGCCGCGCGGGTGAAAGCCTGGGATTCCATCTGCGGCACCGCGCAGCGCCGGCAGGAGGACAGGCTGAAAGCCCATAAAACCCGGAAGATGATGGCGGAGCAGAAACAGGACTGGAAGGAGCATTTCAAGCGCTATAGGATGAGCGAAAAAAATATCGGATACTTCAAAAACCAGGACGAGCTCGCGCGCGCCTTCCACGATATGCTCGGCGCGCGGATCGTACTTTACTTCCCCAGCGACAAAAAAAAACGGTGGAACTCCTGCGCGGCGCAGGCTACGTGGACGCCAAAAACGCGAAGAAAATGGGCGGGCTGGCGGATCCCAAGCGGCTGCGGAAGCTCTATGAACACTGGCACGAAGCGTCGAAAACCGGTGCCCGCCCCGCCGACGACCTCGACCTGGACGGCTCCGATACGCAATTTTCGGGGTATAGCGCCATACACTTGACCGTGAAAGTGCCCGAGCGGCTGCGGCCGCGGGACCTAACACCGCAAGCGGAGGCCATCTGGGCGGGGCGCGTGGTAGAGATCCAAGCCGGCACCGTCATTATGCACGCCTGGGCCGAGATCGAGCACGACATCACCTACAAATCGCACGGGCGCGGGGTGCCTTCGGACGAGAAGGCCATGCTGGATATGCTCAACGGGCTCGCCCTCGCTAGCGAGGTGGGCATGCGGAGTTTCAAGTCGCCGTCTATGTCGGAGTCGCCAGCCACCCGGTCAGAGGAGGAGGTGCGCAGCTGGTTGCACCAGTTCTACATCAAGGAAAATCGCAGCACGCCGAGCGAGTGGGTCGACGTGGATCTCCTCCGGGGCTACCTCAAGGACCACAAAAACCAGCGAAACGAATTCTTAAATCTCGCAAAAGAGGCCTGGTCGATGCTGGAAGGGCATGAAAGCAGGATGGGCCTCAAGTTGGACCACTTCCTCCCTCGCGTCATCATGCACAACAACCAAATGACTTATGAAGTGCTTAATGACTTAATAGAGGCGGCCTGCCGCGGCGTCGGCCTGCTGCAGGCTGCATACGACGGGCAGGAGGCAGTCGTTAGGCTGCTGCTGGAGAAGGGAGTTGATAAAGAGTCGAAGGGAGTTGGTAAAGAGTCGAAGGGAGTTGACAACGAGTCGAAGGGGGTTGACAAAAAGTCGAAAGGAGTTGATATAGAGTCGAAGGACAGCGACGGCGACACGCCGCTATCGCTGGCCGCGATCAGGGGGCACGAGGCGGTTGTCAGGCTGCTGCTCGAAAATGGTGCGGACCAGGAAGCGAGAAACAGGAACGGCAGCACGCCGCTGCTGTGGGCCGCCGCAAGGGGACGTGAAGCGGTCGTCAGGCTCCTGCTCGAAAATGGCGCCAGCTGGGAGGCAAAGGACAACGACGGTAACACAGCACTATCGTGGGCGGCGAGGCAGGGCCACGAGGCGGTCGAGCAGCTGCTGCGTGACAAGGCCGCTGCTGAGCGCACGTCGGCAGATGACGATCTCAACCCGACGCCGCCGTCGTCAGCCACCAAAGGCGATCAGGATTCCGGTGCGGGGCTACTGCTCAACAAGGGCATGCGAATCGAACCGGCCAGCGCGGATAGCATGCGGCCGCCATCGCCAGTCGCCGCTGAGAAAACGCGCCAGGCTGTCGTGCGTCTACTGCTCGAAAAAGGCGCAGACACCGAGTCGGCAGGCAGGTCTGAAAAGACGCCGCTGCTACTCGCCGCCGAGGAGGGGGACGAGGCCGCCGTTAAGCGGCTACTCGATGCAGGCAACGTCGACGTTGATTCGAAAAACCAGTACGGGTCTACCCCGCTGTCGCGGGCTGCAGGATTTGGGCGCGGAGCCGTCGTTAAGCTGCTGCTTGGTACAGGCAAAGTCGAGATCGATTCGAAAAACCAATACGGGTTTACGCTGTTAGCACGAGCTGCTTATAACGGGCACGAAACCGTTGTTAGACAGCTGCTCGACACAGGCAAAGTCGACGTCGATTCGAAAAACCAGGACGGGGGGACGCCGTTGTCGTGGGCTGCGGAAATGGGCCACGAAGCTATCGTTGAATTGCTGCTTAATACAAGCAACGTCGACGTCGATTTGAAAAACCGGTACGGGTTTACGCCGTTATCGAGGGCTGCAGGAAACGGGCACGAGGCCGTCGTTAAGCGGCTGCTTGATACAGGTAAGGTCGATGTCGATTCGAAAGACCAATACGGGGTGACGCCGTTATCGCGGGCTATGGAAAAGGGGCACGAAGCCGTTGTCAAGCTACTGCGCGATAGAAAAGGGGAAAATTAGGGGGCCACGGGAGTGGGAACAGATTCGGGGTCAATGGGTACCGTGGAAATCCTATTCGGGTGTTAGTATTACTTGGAACTTCCTATCCCGACTCTTGCGTATTGGGTTCTGGCGTGCAATCGTTGGCTGGGATGTTCGAAGCCGGGACCGGGAGACAGGCCATCGCGAGGCGGCCGCCGCTGCTTGTTCTTGCTTGTGCGAATCGGACGAGACGGGGGAGCGTTCGGCTCCTGCACCGGCAAGGGGTGGGTCGCAAAGGCAGAAGAGAGCCTTTTTTTTTTTTTTTTTCCGTCGTTCCTTTTTGGTTCTTGTCTGGAAAGCGCGCGCAGGCTGGATGCTGGGAGCTGAGAGTTAACATTATATAGTGCAACATAAGATACAAGCTCCTGAGGCTGTCGATGTTGGGAATCGGGATCGGACTCGGGAGGTGCGTGAGCGAGCGGATCTCGGCGCAAAAAGGCATTGCGTCGAAGGCATCTCTCGGACGCGGGGACAGGCAACGGCAGTATTGCGCCTGTTCTTCTGTGTCGACTCCAACTGTCTGCCGATACCTCCATCCTTTGTTTTTAGGGCATGAAATGGAAGCCTTTCTAAATCGCGGCGTGCATTCCTCACCGAATCCGAGTTCCAGACGGCATTTTCCTGACAGCCGCGGCCAAGCTCTCTCGCCGCGGTGCGCGTCCCGAAACCTGCCTGCCGCGACCGAGTGCGGGCGGTGCTGGGAATGGATTCTACGACCAGGAGAAGCTCATAGGCTGCTGTGATCCGCTGGTCAAGTTTGCCGCACAAACGGGGGCCCGCTCCGCCTCGTCCCTATCCACCACTCGGTGCTGGAGTACAGTCGGGAAGAGGCCAACAGCATCATCTCCCGCCTCTGCACCACGAATCTTCTTCTCCCTTTCGGCGCCCGTACAACCCAAAGAGCGAGGAGAGACAGATGTGGGAGAACAAAGTGGCTTGCCGCAGCCATGGCCTGGGGGCGGGCGACGCTAAACAACGCTTTGAGACGACACCAAGACGAGGGTAGAAAACGTGCTCTGCTGGGCCGAGATATGCTGGTACAGCAACAGGAAGGCCGAGCACTTCTCCGAGCCGGCTTTCCGCCACCCCGAATTCCCCGACTAGGGTGCCCGTTCTCGGGACCTGGCAACTCAAGCGCTAGCACCAACGCCAAGACCACCCCCATCATCATCACCTTCGTCGTCGCCATCGTCTGTAGAATCATTGCCACCACCATCTGAGCCCCCAAAGTACGCGCCAGTCGCTGCCCAAAAAGCCGGACCGACCGTGTCAGCAACGGACAAGCACACAGGCCCTGCTCCGTTCGCCGCCTACCTCTGCGGCTGGGCCTACGTCGTCGGCGACATCACTGTCACGCTCGCCGTGCAGTTCGGCACCACCGTCTTCTTCGCTGCCTGCACCAACATGTTCCAGACCGAGGCCGCCGACCCCATCTGGCGAGGGACCACCTACCGGGTCTTTTTGGTCTTCCTGGGCGTGGCGCTACGTTGCAGCGCCATCTCAATCTTTTGGCAACCGTTGGTTCGCCACCTGGATGTGGATGTGTTTCACCCATTCTCCCTCGCTCAGACTAACCGGGCACACCCCTGATGTCTTCTGGATTTTCGCCGGCCTCTTTGCCATCCTCGTGACGGTCCTTGCCATCGCCGAGAACGGTTGCGCACAACGCAGCCTACGTCTTTGGCGACTTTGAGCCGACCTCGGGCTGGCCGGCCGGGAGGTCGCTCTGCATCGGCCTGCTGCTCGCCCAGCCGATGCCTACCATTATTAAAAGCGCCGTCGGGTTGTCAGGCGCCGCCATCTCCCTGCTGCTGCCGCTTATGGTGCTAGCCATCTTGTGCGGCGTCGCCTGCACCACGGCCGCGTCGCGCTGCACCTGGGCCTTTGCCCGCGACGGTGCCATCCCGGGCGCCCGATGGTGGAGCAAGGTCCGTCCACCCTACGCTTGACCTGCCTCTCAATGCTATGAAGCTGTCCATGGTCATCCAGATCGCCCTGGGGCTCATCTGGTTCGGGTCGCCCGTAGTCTTCAACGCTCTCTCGGGCGTTGGCGTCATCTCGCTGACCCTGGCGTACGCCATGGCCATTGTCGCCGCTGTGATCGGCCGCCGCGAGCAGATGAAGGGCGCCAAGTTCCCGCTGGGCAAGTTCGCCTGGCTCGCCAACAGCATCGCCCTCGGTAAGTCCGTTATCCATTCGGTGTGAATCGCCCGTGCTGACATCCGCGCCACGAAATCTGTGTTGCGAGGCTTAGACGCTTGTTGTTCTAACCAAGCCATAGCGGGTTCAGGAGTTCGGCCGCGAGTGTACCCTACCCTTCTCGCGCTTCTGGGCCAGCGACCGGCCCATTAATTCCCCGCTGGCCTGCCTGTTCGAGCGCTGGCTCGTGTCCGCTATCGTCATGCTGGCCCTGCCGCCGTGAGTTCCCCCTGCTCTTCGCTGCGGGCTTCTCGTGCTAACGTGCCCAGTACCGCCTCATCTCTTACCCTCTTCGCCATCGTCAACGCCTTCGTTGCCAGTTGCCTGGTGCACCTCTACCTGTACCGTGCCGCATGGCGCGGAACCCGCCCATCACCGCGACGCTGCCCGTCGTCGTCTTCTTCCAGCTCAAAAACGTCTACTTCGTCGTCGCGCCGTTCGTGCCGTCCGAGGGCGGTCAGAACAGCCACGACCACCTGCCGTACTGGATCCACTGCGCTGTCAGTATTGATATCGTCTTTGTCGGCGGTGTTTACTGGTTCGTCTGGGCCGCCGCGCCACCCAGGATTGCTGAGTATGAGCTCGGCCGCGAAACCGTCGTCGACCCGATAGCCGGGCAAGAGAGAACTGCGTTCTTCCAGTAATAATATGAAGACCCAACACTTTATTGCATTTAATTCGAAGCTACAACTTCTGTACCTTCCACCAGCATTTCTTACTCAAGCGCAAATAGGAAATACTAGAAATAACAATAAATAAAGGTTTTAGCAATATTTCTCGAAAAATAAAAGCATTGTAAAAGAGCGGCCGGGAGTAACATACCGGGTAGTTTGAAGCCTTATCCTTCAGCGGTATGAAAGTGACCTCGGAGCTTTCGTAAAGGATGTAAGACCTACAGCGGCCCCCCGAAGGAACTTCCGGGATCTCGTCGTCCATTATCGCCAGTTTGAACTCCCCTCGCTGAATCCGATATCCGCCCCTTTCTGATATAAGCTGAACCAAACAGTCGTTGTGGAACTTACCGGACAATTCCACTTTATCCAGCTCAGGTCGCCATCTCACCAATAGTGGGGTTTCATCACCAATCGCGGCCCTGGAATTTGACTCTTCGTCACTGCCCCTCGGCTTCTTCGATGGCTTGTGGAATCGGAACACGTAGTCCAGCTTTGTATCATCTGCCATACCCGAAGGTGCCATGGCAGGAAGGACATCAAAGATGGTGTCCAGGTCCTCAGGCCCGAGCCGGACTCGGCCGGATGTGTGTTCATCGAAAAGTCGCAAATAGAGGCCAGAGGTAGGTGCCCCGAGTTGGGATACCCTCAAAGATTTCGAGAAATAACCGATGCCTGCCCACTCGCATACATCGCGTAGCACATCGGCGTTAATCCGCGTGCCCTGACTCGAATCGTTCGGGGTTTTTAGTGAATCGGCACCATAGTTGCTACAAGGCATAGGATATTAGCTAAGAAATTAGTACAGATTCGCAAGTTAACATACTGTATGGCTATAACCGTCTCATAGCCGCCATAGGCAGCCCAAACGGGACCACCGCTGTTGCCGGAGATGGTGTCTACTTTGTATTTTAAACACCTGGGGAGAAGGTGCTTAATAATACCCGAATTCGTGCTCGGGATGCCAGTGACAGTGCCGGCGTGATGGCCAGTGACAAAGCACTCGGACGCGATGGATCTTGCTACACCCAGGGCTACTGAAAACCCAAATCCTCCTTGGGATGCGTCCTTGTTAATTAAGTAGAATAGCGCCGTAATCGTTGACTCGGTTGGCAGGGCCAGGCTGGGCCTTGTAATTGCTACAGATCTTAACCTCGCTCGAATAGTTCACCGGCCTGTTCGGGCCGGGGTTTCGGAGGATTGTCAAGTCCTCAACCGGGTGGCCGCTTTCACTGATGAGGTTATGACCCGCCGTCAAGATGACGCTGTACGGGGATGCGGGCAAATTGAGGAAGAAACCTGTTCCCCAAGATACGTTTCCTTGCCCTAAAGGCTTGGTTAGTATAACTCGCTGTTTTTCAAAGGCATGTTTGCTTAACCGCCATTCAACACGCACCGTGCTTTCGGAATTGTAGTTTAACTACCCAATTGCGGCAATTGTCAGGAGCCACTTCTTTCAGCACAGTCATATGTTCCTCCTCGCCAAGGCCATCTCTCCAAGTCCGATGCCAACCGGCAGTGCTAAGTTTGCTCATTATCCCTGGAAATGCATCATTAACTGCCGTGCTTTAATTATGCGCGCTTCTTTACCAAAGTTTAGGGCTTACCAGCAGATAATTGCAGTACTACCTCCGCAAACGGAGTCTGAAAGGGGTAACGGCCCGGGAGAAACCTTTACCCCGTGTGGAACCATAAAAGAGATGAATTAAAAATCCCAAAATCGGGTCCGTATGTAAATCCCTGTGTTGGTGTCCGAGATTTTATTTTCAAAGTGGTCAGCCGCGCTTCAGCCCGGGCGGCGGCAGTGGAAGGAATGAGAATGGGGAGGAAAGGTAGAAGTGGCGGGGGCCGAAGGCATGAAAGCATTTATCGTGAAAATTAACCCCGCAATCCAGCAGCTAGTACGCGGGGCAACCGGAATGAGGGGTCCGTGGGTGCCGCGGTTAGGGAAAGGCGACCAACCAGTCAGGAAACGGAAGCCCCGACGGCAACACGTGGGTTCGAATTCATGTTTTCACCCACCATCCAGATGTGACATAGCGACACGCCCTCCACATTGGAAAACGGAACGATTTGGAACGTGCTATGTGCACTTTATAAGGTGCCACACAAAATTGTATGGTGTATTGTGTTGTGTGTGTTGAAGTACCTAGAAATAGCCGCGTTTGCACGAACCCCCTACAGTTTTATACGTGTATGCAAGCCTGCAACGAAAGAAGTGACCCGCTAGGTACCCCCAAAGGCACCCTACACATACCTGAGGAACACAAAGTGCACGCCGAGATATAAAGCCTTTCTCTGCTATAAAGAAAACCCCCCGATTTAAACCCAAAAAAGAAGAAGGGGAAAAAGAGAAAGAAAAGGAGAAAAGAAGAAGAAAAAAAGAAAAAAGGACAATCAGGATTCCTTTAAAGATCAACCCACAAGCGGCGTTTGAAGGATGTCGAAAAGCTTACCCAGTATGTATGTGTTAGCACAAGGCCTCTTAAAAAACCCCCGGGGATTAGCTGGGGGCGGCCAAACTCTTACCCGAACCTCGAGGTCTTCATCGTTCTGGTTAAACTCCACAAACCTGCCATCAAGCTGCTCTTTTCCCAGTCCAGCCCGGTTAGCGCAAAAGACCGATAAAGGAAAGGCACAAGAGTTGACTCACCTTTGCAGACGTAAACCGAGTCCCCCAGCTCCTGGCTGTTTCTCAGCTTGAGCAGAAACGCCTCCGAGTCGCTGTCGTCTCCAATTTGGCAAACAATAAACGTCACGACTATCCCAGGATCAGTAATGAATTCAAGGCTGGGCGCCAATTCCAAATGGGTCTGAAGGCTGGACAACTTGTACTTACCCTTGTCGCCATACCCCTCCCTCTTCAGCTTATCCACGCATTCTTTCAGCACCTCTGCAAACTTCCCTTTTGGCTCTGGCCACGGTGCTCCGTCGGTGATCACGCAGATCAGATATGGCCGATCCAGCCCCCCGTTGCTAAGCTGATCATAAACGAACGGCTGCAGCACCTTCCGCAGTAGGTTTGTGCCGATGTCTGTGCCACCAGATGTTTTGAGGGACTCTATATGTTGTTCCACTTGGTCGGCACTGAGCCGGTCCTAGGCGACGTCGCGATTGATGAAGCGCACATGGATGCCGCCGTCGTCTGGCACGAGCAGGCCGTATACCCGGGCGATACGCCGGGCGACTTGCCCCTGCACGGCCAGGCGCGGGATTTTGCTGTTGGCGGTTATTGGCTAGCCCATGGAGGTGCTGTCGTCTTTAACAATGCCAAATGTTAGTACCGTCCGAGAGCCTGAAAATGGGTGGATAAGGGATGGAGACACCAGACGGGAATAGCAGGGAAGCCTACCGCAGTATAGGATCGTCTGATACAGAGCCAGCTTGGTGAGCCCCTTCAGGTTCTCGGGTGTGTTGAGGGCGCTGGGGCTGTCCTTGAACCGTGCCAAGCCCTCAGCGAGCTTCTGAAGGAACTCGCTGTCTCGAGGAAAGAAGCGCTCCAAACCAGAGTCCTGCACGTATTCGTTCACACTCTCCTTGAAGTCTTGGGCCGTGGCACAGTCCTGCAGGTCCTGAGGGGGGAGGACAGAGCGTTAGTACGAAAACCCCGAATAGTTCTGTCCAAGAGAGGTGGTATGCACGCGAAATGGTTCACTCACCCGGGGCACGGACGTGTCCTTTGCGCCGCTGATTTTAAACAGTTTCTTCAACCGCCCGAAGGCGCCGGCCGCTGCAACCGTCGCGACGTTCACCCATGCAATCATGTGGCCGATGAGCCTATTAATCCTGGTGATGAAGGGAACCCGGACCTTCTTCCGCTCCTCGGCAGGAAGCAGAGCCACCACCAACAACTCGTCCTTCTTCTTCTCGGCGAGCTGCTTGGCCGTCTTGCCTTTCTGGTTCCGCTTGTCCACCTCTGCGCCGGCATCCACAAGCATTCTGGCAACAGCAGTGTCTCCGAACTGGACAACCGCTTCCATGAGCGGAGTATTGCCGGAGCCAATATTGGGCGTCACATTGAGATCGGGCTTGACCGTTGCGGCCAGGAGCAGGGAGACGATCTTTTGGCGGTAATGCGTGGTCTTGGAAGTCGCTAGCCAGAGCGCGGACTCGCCATTGGCACCTCGCCGGTTGGTGTCGGCATTCTTGGAGAGTAGGAGCTTGACGACGTCTTTTCGGCCGTGCAACACGGCGATCATCAGGGGCGTGTGCTCCTCTTTGTTATAAGCTCCATTGATGTCCCCGCCGGTAGCCATGTATAGTTCCAAAGTGTCTCGCTTCAGTGTTCCCTCCCCGGCATCTTTGCAAATGGACGTGGAGGAGCTCATGGTTGGGACGACTCTGGTGTCTTCCCTCAATCTGTGTAGTAGCAACCGAGGACGGGTGGATGAAACAGAGATTCAGAAACGGGTTTTTACCTCGTCGCCGGACTCGAGGGGTTGGTCGCCGCGAGAAGGGGCTTCGTCGTACTAACCATCAGATTTACGCTTGGCCGACCGATATAGGGACACGTTGGGCTGATTATTTTGCAGAGAGAGGGAGAACCCCCAAGGGGCGCTTCTTCCCCCCACAACGTTGCGGCTATTAGCGCCCAATTCGTCACGAGCACACACTGCCTGATGCGAAGAACCCGCTGTCATCAAATGACTCAGAAAAAGCCTGGGGCTTCTGGATAATGTGGCTTTCGATCATTGGCTTGCGATCAAAAATGCAGTTTTAGCTTTGCCTTTGGCATTATCAATTTTCTTCATTGGCTTAGCATGCTCCAATGAGCTGCTCGTGCCATCCCTTCAAGTGCTATTAGGTGCCTGCAAGCCGATCCCCCTTTCTCGGCCAGCCAAATATTTTCATTAAGGATAAAATCTCCAAACTTATTCCTATTCTGGCGTGCAGGCATTTAACGGCACTTAAAGGGATGGGGAGGAGTCATTGAGCAGTCAGGAAAGCCCGTCGCCTTTGGATTAGGCAAGTTCAATCAGTCTGAACGAAAATGGCCCACCACCGACCGAAAACTGTTTGCCTGCCTACAGATGCACAGGAAGTTTGGCCATCTGCTACAAGGCAATGACATGGTGGACTGGTCACAAAGCGCTTGAAGCGCTCCGCACCACCCTCGCTATTTCCCCCCGCCGAGTCCATTGCGCGGAAACTCTCAATCAATTCCCATTTGTGGTAAAATACCGCAAAGGCAAGGGCATGCATGTCGATGGCATGACACGTCACTCCACTTTCGAAAAAGAGGCTGGGCTTGGAGGAACTGATTTGCTACTAGAGCCCGAGAAGTTACCTAGCGCGCCCACTCGGCGCAAGGAGAGCCTGTAGGGTGACCGTAACCTCCTGCTGGAGGCGGTGGCGGTCCTCCGAAGCCGCGGCCCTGGCTCTGTTGACGACTAGGCGGTGCTGCGGAATTGCCTCGCAGCCAAGTGTCCACCTCCGTTTGAGCTGTGGAGCCTGAGCCTTGTTGGTTGTGAGCCGTGGTGCTGTATTGTCCGTGGACCCAGTACGGGTTGGCTTGATGCTGTCCGTCAGTCGCAGCAACGCTGCTGCTCGGCGCCACGGGGGGTTGGCACGCCTGCGGATGGGGTGCTGCCATCGTCTGCGCCGCTTCTGCCGTGGTAGTGACCGCTTGGGGGTGCAGTCGCCGGTCTAGTTGTGTAGTGAGGTACGTCTTTAGGAGCAGAGGAAGTTCCTGTGGCCGGATGCCACACCATCTCCTGCTAAGCGAGTGGTGGTACCGTTGAAGTTGGTGCCGCCGCGGGGGCCGACTATCCCTGGACAGATGGGTGTATTTGGGTTCCGCGACTGCCAAGCACGGGCGAGCCTTCGACTGAAGCTGTCGGGACATCCGGGTCCTCGTATCCTGACACTACCCAAGGGAGTCGTGAACGGTATGTTGGGTGGCTTGGGTCACTGGGCCTGCTTGTGTCTCCCACGCAACGGCCCCTGGGCCGGCAGCCTCTAGTCAGAAACTATTACTCGCAGTACGGAAGCTGCTCATGCTTGGATATCGGACTAAGCCCAGTGACGGTCGAGGGTGAGCATTGTCCCTCGTGAGGTCGAAGGCGGCGGACTGATGGGCTCGACCAGCCGTCACCAAGCCGGCAGGTGAACTCTCTCCGAGCCTCGGAGACTCAGCCTTCTCTTGCGCCAACATTCTCTCGAGCGTCTGCTGATTGGTTTGGAGTATCTGAAGGTCTTGGAAGGTCCCGTTGTACAGCTCGCTTGCCTGGTCTCGGCTGTTTCGAAGGCTCGCTTAAAGGTCGGACTGCCCCTTATCCAGGCGTTAGAGCGTCTCGGTAATGGCGGAGGACACGCTGGCGTTAGCTCGGTGCGTTCACTCTTTCTCGCGACCTTGTTGGATCTGAACGGCGCTGGAGGATCCTCCTGTCGCAAGCCGCACTCTGAGACTGTCGCCGCTGTCGAGGAAGATGTCGGCCGGCTCGATACGTAATTGGGGTCCGTGGGCTCGGCCGATAATGTGTGGCTCGTGGCGTCGGTCTCGAAGGCTCAGCCGAAGGTGTTCTCGCCAGAGGTAGAGGGGGCGAGACGTGGCCGGGTCACGGTAGGTAGGAGAGTCTTTTCGGTCGCAGAGGCCCTGTCGAGGCCGACTAGTCTAGCTCAGCCCTGTCGAGACCGACTAATCTAGCTCAGCCCTTGTCTTGGCGCCTGCTTCCTTTGTGTCAGCTCTTCAATGCCGTCAGGGCTGCCCTCCGGCCCGTTCCTTGACTAGCCAGTGGCCTTACCTGTGCTCCTTGTTGCGAATCGCCCAAGTCGAGGGCGTTCAGTGGCGGTGGACGTTGTGCTGTTCCGGCGCCTTTGAGCTGGGCCGCGAGCGAATGGCGGGCGGGGCCACCGGGTAAGCTAGGGCTAGGCAGGCAGCGACCAAAGACACTCCACCAAGGGTTACCTTTTGCCCAGGGCTGTTTGCTCCATAATGCATGGACTGCGACTTTAATT